AAGAATATTACAAAGAGCTGATCAGCTCTGAATCTATTGTCCAATATATAGATACTGTTTTTTATCAGTAAAGCAGATATTCTCAAAAATAACTCACTGAAAGGTTTTGGAGAAACAAGACTCCTGGAGAGTGGAAATACCTTTGATTCAAGCAGCAGATATTGTTGGGGCAGGGGAGGCAGATTTTGGTCCATTAATCTTTAACTTTAGAAAAGTTAACAAAGTGGGGAAACTTTAACAAAGAAATAATTCTAGAATTCATACACAGATGCACCTCCTATCAAGCGTTATTTCGTATACCAGTTTATTTAGATTAACTGCACTCACTGCCTTAGTTTGCTTTCTTTGCTTCCTGCAAAAATCTGTATATACCCTGAAACACCATTATTGGAACTTGGATGAGATTCTACAAAATGGGTGCTATCTAAATACTTCTGTTTATCTCTGCATAATCATATTCCCATCTCTTCTGGTACTGTTTCTTCCATGCCATAGTACTGTGGCTACTTCAAAACAAAACACCCATTAAAAAACAAAATTAACCAAGCAAGATTTTCAAAAAATATACCCAGTAATTGAACAAGAACAGACACACTGATTGAAATACATGACAGAAGCATTTACATTTATGTTTCAGTATGTCATAACATAAATAAGACAAACTATAACTGAAATAAATACCTACATGGCTGCTCTTGAATCAAATTGTAAGTATCAAGTTCATTTATTCCTACATAAAGTAAAACACACTTGGTCAATCACATGCTGAAGTGTGGGCATCCTGCCAGCTGGAGTTCTGAAAACAGCATACATACATCTAACCATATTAGCAAAACTAAACTTGTTGTTTATTATGGGTAATGATTTACCTAGTTAAAAACGCTTTTGTTACACTACAGAAAAAAAAACCCAAAACAGCACAAAACAGACATTTCTTTATTCTCATAGCTATAACCATCGGATATCAACATTCATAATTTTTCATTTTGTTATTTGTTCCTCTTTCTCCTTTAATTGGTCAGATACATGAGTATTTTCAGATGGTGGGATATTATTTGTCATGTTGTTCAAGTCTTATAATATCAGCTCTGCAGGATGCCTAGAAAATGAATGAAATAAATTACAGGGAAAATAAAATAAAATAAAATAAAATAAAATAAAATAAAATAAAATAAAATAAAATAAAATAAAATAAAATAAAATAAAATAAAATAAAATAAAATAAAATAATAAAATAAAATCCTGCAACGGAGCATCACGGTTGTAACAAGCTACACAATGTCTCCAGGGCCTGGCAGAAAGGAGCACGGCCCTGAGTGTGACCGCAGGGTGAGAGCCCGCAGGCCCGGTGCCCCCGGGAGCGCTGCCCGGGGCCCCGAGGGCGGGGCCGCGGCAGGACTGGGCCTCGGAGGGGCCGCGCTCCCGGGCAGCGGGTGGCACTGCCCGGGTCCCGGACCCCCGGTGGCGGCGGCTGAGGGCGCTGGAAACCCGCTGTCGAGGGCAGGCAGGGCCCGGCCTAGACGGGTGCGGCGCCCGGCCCTCGCTGCCGAGGACGGTGCTGCGGAGAGGGCACGTCTGGGCCGCCCAGGAGAAGCAGAGCACGGCTCCTGGCGAGGAAGAGGTGCTGTAGGAAAAGGGGTGCCCTACCTTGGGCCGGTCGGAGGAAGGAGGCCACTTTTCCGTCACGGTCGAAGACTGGAAGAGTACTCTCACTCAGCAAAAGCTCAGAAGCAAATGCTGAGGCGGTGCAGTGCCCTCATCAGCCTGGGCCCTGTTCCCGAGGGAGAGGAGGATGAAATGCCACCTTCTCTCCCCCGAGCTCCGGGGGCAGGGGCGCGGGAGCGACCGCCCCGACGGGGGTTCCTCCAGGCGTGTCTGAGGGGACCCCCACAGGGTCTTCTAAATGAGAACTCAGCCACAGGGGCACAGAACCGGGGCGGCTGTGCCTGTGTCAGGGGCGGAGGGAGGGAGGGAGGGAAAACAGCCCCCCGATCGGATTCCTTCGCTGTGGACTCCCCCCAGAAGGAGAGGCGCTACCGGCACTCAGCGACCCCTGCTTCCGGAGCACCCAGGATCCCTCCCCGTCCAAAGCACCCGGCTCTGGGCACAGACGGTTACTGTTTGCCCGCTTGAACAGGGAAAGATTTCAGGTTGGAAACAGACGGGAATAGAGATTTCTCATCTTGGGGAGAATGTGGGGGAGGCTGACGGGGTCCCACGGTGTTTTCGGCGACCCGCTGCACAGACTTGGGCCAGTGTGGAAAGCTGGGTATGAGGGACCCTCTGCAGAAGACAGATCCGGGCTGCACGGTATAGAGCAGGGAATGCATACCGATGCGGAGATAACCTCACAGCTCCTTCCCGAGCTAAACGCCTGGCCCGCGCGGGCACTGCCGAGAGAATCTCGTCCAAAAGACCATGATATTTCGGGTAAAATCTAGTAAAACCCTGCAAGGCAAACCGAAGGGCCGACAGATGCTGCTGCTGCCGCCGGCGGAAACTTAGACCGGAACAAACTGAAGCAGCGCTCCGCGTTAGAATGAAAGCCCCCGCCGCTTGCCTCGGCCGCCCGGGCCACGCGTGGGACGGAGCCTGCGGGCGGCGCTCCCGGGCGGCGCTGGGCGACGGGCGCCAAGGAGCTCCGCTCCCGTGGGCAGCGCCGTGCCGGGACCAGCTCCGCTCCCCGGGGCGCTGCGGGAAGCCCCTTCCCAAGGCCGAGGCCACTCGGCCCGGCCAGACAGCGCCGAGATTCCCAAAATCGAGACCCTTGCTGAGTGGCCTTTGCGGGGCCCAGCTCCTCCTAACAGCGCTGGTAACACGGTGTCCCATGGAAGTCCTGCCCCCGCTCCACACAGACATATTTCCGTAGTATTTAGGTCAGGTTTTAAGTTTGCACCCTTGGCAGAACGCACTGGAGGAGCCAAGACCTGAGACCCTGATCCCATCTTGCCGGATAAAGCAGAGATCACCTCAGCCTGCACTTTCTCCAAGTTGCACTAACAGCTCGCCCTGGAAAACATTCTAAAAATCAAAAAAGAAAAAAAAATAAGAAAAAAAACCCAACAAACAACAAGAACAAAAAATAAGTATACAGACCACAGCTGGGGAAAAGTGCTGTGTAATTTGGGCCAGTGCTACTGACCTGACTCCTGAAAAACCCATCAGCTAGGCACGACTGGAGAGTTCCTGGCTACTACACAGCGTCCCGCATCCTAGGAGAGTGCTTCTCTGCTGAGCCTGCTGCAAAGGATACTGATAAATCCCTCTGGACTCGCAGAGCATCCCACACAGGGCTTCACTACATAAAGGCTCAAGTGCAGGGCAAGGGCAACTACTGAAATATCCGCTTTTTCCTGTGGTCGTGGGCAGAGGCGTCCTGACCCTCTTCTGGACTTAAGGGAGGATTTTCTCCACCAGGGCTGCACCACAGCAACCGGGCTGAAGAGAATTTCCAGCAGCGCCTAGCTCTGACTCGGGCTTGCTTATTATAAATCAAATGGAGAGACTCTAAGCAGATTAAGAGAGAATCCTGCCTGTGCTCTCACCTCTGGGAGCAACCTCAGGAGGGAGCTGAGCCCGCAGCTGGACAACAGGAGGCGCTGAGGCTTTGCACAACCCCCGGCTCCCCTCCCCTCCCCTCCCGGGCCTCGGGCATCCCAGCCGGGGCGGCCCGGGGGCGGGCGGCCGGAGAGCGGCTTTGCCGGCTCCACGTTTGCTCCGCCCGGTGAAACGCCTTCGTGGTTTGTAGCAGCACCCGATGAGCGTGGCCGGCTCTGTGCCTGCCCTTTTTTCCAGGTACGGAGTGACCCAGCGTGGGCTGCCCGGCGTCCTGTCGGGTGTTGCTCCCGCGGGGTTGGGCTCTGGAAAGCGAGGCAGCACCGCCCCGAGGTCACCCAGCGGGGGGGTACTGCCAGCGGGGTCGCTGGGGCAGCTGCAGTCCTGCCAGCATCCCTACATGCGGCTGTGCTCTAGGGGGGAACCGCACTCCACAGACCTCAAATATTGAAATGATCAAACCACCACCGAAGGTTCTCTGTTTTCAGACATATACAGTGCTTCCATTAGGAAAAGAGGGAGGGTGCATACATGAAGACCGCAATTTTAATATTTCTTAGATATTCCACTGGGGTTTGTCCCAGTTTCCATGGGTGTAGTTTGACCATTTGAGAAACCAGGGGTCTAGCCAGTGCTTTTACATATTTTATTTCCTGCAAGACATATTTTCATATGTTGTTCTTCTCTGCTGATTCCAGAGTTTTGTCTGTTTCGAAGATTTGACTCAATTCTGTTGCCAGAATTAAAAATAAAAAAAATAAAAATAAAAAAAATAAAAATAAAAAAAATAAAAGAGAGAGAAGAACAAAGAAAGGGGTAATAGAAAATGCATTTAGAGAACAAGTTAAAACATATTTGTAGAGGCAGAGAGATGCTACATCTCATCATTTGGATCCTATGTCTCTATAAGAAACTTTAAAATCCTGTTTGTAAGGGTGACATTTCCACAGATCACTCGAGAACAAGTTACTGTGGAAGCAGCTGCGTCCATGCTGAACAATAAACACATCAAGATGAAATTAAGACTCATATGTGTATTACAGTTTGTGTGGTATAATGTGCAAGCCTTTTTCAAAATCCCAAGAAGCTTTATTTCTCCGTCAAAATCCCACTATTCAAACAGTTTTTTGGGTTCGGAAGGGGGAAGGCTTGTTAGTTGCTGGTTGGTGATGTAGATTTTTTTTGGTTTTGACTTTTTGGTTTTTGTTTTCTGCTATGAGGTGATAAAAGTTCTAGTAGCTATATGGGAACGAACTCACAAGGGATAGGATAAAGAAACCCAAGAAAAGTCCGTGGTGTTGACATAGGCTCGAAGAGCCGGACAGGGCAGAAAATGTTTGATCCCTCTGCAAAGACTGAGAGATTCTCTCCATAATAATAAAAAGCTTTGTCCAATGTCAGTTTGTTTTATCGGTGTTTTTTACCTTTTACCAACCTGTGTAGAAGCCTCCTCCCCTGTTCGTTGTGAGAAATCAGGTCAATAAGCAAGAAGTTGGAAATGAGGTACCCACTACCTATTATTGCTGCTCCTGGGCATCTGGCAGGAGATTCTTTCTCTGGGAAGAGAAAGCTTCCAAATGAGCCTTCTGGGCTGAAGGCTTTCCACAGTAAAGATATAAAATGGTTCTAGTGACTCACCTGATGTTTGCCAAGTGGAGGTTAATATCAATGGATCCGCATTCAGGCCTCTGTCCGTATTTATTTGGAACCTGTAGTATTATGTCTCAGCACTGTGACTCACATGGTTTCTGAACATAAGGCACCCGATATAAAAACAATATCATTATCACCATCTACACAGGACAGCACCCCGTTTGAAGGGCTAGTTTAGCCCGGAGGAAGAAGCGGGTAGGGTGGGGGGAGGGCTGGGAGGGCTCTGGGGAGCTGGGAGCCGAGCCCCCTGCTCGCAGCCCGGAGCGCCTAATCCGATCCCCTGCCCCGAGAGCGATGGGAACGCGGGGTGCCGCGGCAGGGCCTGGAGGTACCTGCGAGGTAACCAACTGTGAAGTGAGGAGCGGGAGAGTGGGGGAACCTGTGGACTTCAGGACTCGGGACTTTGAAGCACGTCCCGGCCATCAAGTTAAAGGAGCATCTACCGGCCTTTAGTAAATATTGCCTCTAATCTCAGGGCTTTAAGGCTGGATGGCCTTTTGCGTTCTCTTCAAATAGAGGGGGCTGCCCTTCCTTCATCTACCTCATTTCATTTCCCCCTATCCCTCCTAGCATTTGTCCTGTCCACCTGAAAGGGTGGTCGTGCCCGTCCCCCGTCCCATCCCGTCCCGCCCCCCGCCCCCCTCTGTCCCCCTCTCCCACCTCTGTCTCTCCTTCTTTCCCCACAAGCTTAAACCAATTACGCAGCTTTGCAAATAAAGTGCCGCCCCGGGGGGAGTTGCAGGCGAGGGGGACTGCCTTGTTTGCAGGTGCATCTCCGGCTTTGTAGGTGCGAACGCCTTTGTGCGGCGGACAAATGGGGAGAGGAGGAGGAGGAGGTGGGTACTTCTGCGACGTAAGATCCACATCAGCTCAACTCCACTCACATCCCAGCCGCACTTCCTCACTTTCTCAACTGTCTCGCCCCACACCGCTCCCTGCCTCCTTTTTGGCTGGTTATAGAGCAGAATTCAGCACCCCCCGCCCCTCCTGAGAGCTGGCTTCCTGCTAGGTCGGGCTTTCGGGCTCTTTTCCTACTGCCCGTCGCTCGCTTGCAAGAAGGCTGGATGGTTACACCGGGCAGGTTGGCTCCATAATGTTAGGGACTGTGAAAATGGAAGGGCATGAAACCAGCGACTGGAACAGCTACTACGCCGACACTCAGGAGGTGAGTAAATCCCAGGGTCTGTCTTCGCTGCTGCCCCTGTGCAGGGGAGGGGAGGACCTGGGGGTGGCTAGGGGTCTGGAGGGGGCAGCAATCGGAGGAATCGGTTTGCAGCCCAGATCCTGCCAACGCAAACGTACCTCCCCCTCCCTCCGGCGCCGAAACTGGCTAGGCTTCCCCAAGGAAAACACAGTTTCCAGGAGCCCTGGAGGCGTTTGGGGAAGACACGGGGCGGCTGCGAGCCCGCCAGGAGGGCCGGGGGGCCGGGGGTAGCCCTTGATCTCATCTAAGAGGCGTAATCTTCTCTCGCGGCGCGCACAAAAGCACCCCGTAAACTCTTGGCTCGGGGCAGAGCACTCGCCGCGCCGCCGGCACCCGGCTCCTTCCCGGCAGATGGCAGGGGCCGAGAGACACGGACGCCAGCGCGTCCTGGTCGTGGACAGCGCCTTCCCCGAGCTTCTCGGCGGGACCTCCGGCCTCTGTACTCGCCATCACCGGGCCCTCACCTGTTAAAGCCGGGGGAAAGGGAAGGAGGGGGGAAAGCAGCCGTTTGTCTGTACTTTGCGGACGGGCTGCCTGCGGCGTGCGCTGCTGCCGCGGGCCGGCTGGGGGGGGGG